TTAATATCAGTATTTTATGATATTTGTTTACTGTTACAGGTTGACTTTTGCCTCCCCCCGAAAAAGGCATGTTGAAGTTGTAACTCCCCAATACCTCAGAATGTTACTTGATTTGGAAACAGGGTCACTGCAGATGTAATTAGTTATGATGAGGTCATAGTGAAGTAGGATGAGCCCCTAACCCAATGTAGCTGGTGTCCTTATAAAAACACCATCATGTGACAACACAGAGACACACAGGGAGAAGGCCATGTGAGAGGAAAGTGGAGTTTGAAGTTGTACCTGCAAACCAAGGAACACTAAAGATAGCTGGCAACCAGCCAGAAACTAGGAAGAGGCAGGGAAGAATTCCCTACGGGGTTCAGATGGAGTGTGGCCCTGCTGACGCCTTGATTTTAGAACTGTAGCCTCTAGAACTGTGAGACAAATTTCTGTTGTCTTAAGCTACCAATTTGTGGCACTTTGTTATGGCAGACCTAGAAAACTAATACACTACTGAAACTAAGCTGAGAGCTATGCAACTCACCAGAGGCAGAATCTGTCGCATTACTTTTAATAATAGTTCGTGTGGGGGAAGTATCTTGCTAAACTAATTTGTTGTTAATCCTTACCTGAGGATATTTTTTTCATTGATTTTTTAGAGAGAGTAGAAGGGAGGAAGGGGAGTGGGGGGGGGGTAGAGAGAGACATTGATGTGTCTCTCCCCTACGGCCCCAATAAGAGGCCGGGATCAAGCCTGCAACCCAGGTATGTGCCCTTGACTGGGAATCGAACCCTTGATCCTTTGGTGCGAGGGCCAATGCTCTAACCACTGTACCACATCAGCCAGGGCTAAACTAATTTTTAAAGTGCACGTGCTGTTTTTAGTTTGGTTAACTTTAACATTCCTAAGCAAGTGTTGATATAAATATAACACTTTTTGTTCCTAGCAGCCCTTCTCACACAGCACTGAGCAGAGTGCCTGGAACATAAATCAGCCAGCAGTACATTTTGTGGCTTAGTTTAAAAAGATTAGCCTATAAATATTAAAATATCCACTTATAGAGCTTGAACCCTAAATATATACAGTGTTACTGAAATGTGGGAGTAATTATTGCAAAGAATTTACATAAGTTTCAACGAGGCAACTTTTATCTTGGAACTATGTGTGGATAATAAAGAAACTATATACCCAGCTAATTTGTGGATTATTCAGATTCTGTATTTTCTGTTGCCCTCATTTTGACTTTGAAAAACAATATTCTTGCCCTACCTGGTTTGGCTCAGTGGTTAGAGCGTTGACCTGCAGACCGAAGGGTCCCAGGTTCAATTCTGGCCAAGGGCTTATACCTCAGTTGCAGGCTCAATCCCTGGCCCTGGTCAGGGCATGTGTGGAAGGCAACCTATCAATGTGTCTCTCTCACATCGATGTTTCTTCCTTCCCTCCCCCAGAGAAGCAATGGAATAAATGTCCTCAGGTGAGAATTTAAAAAAATATTCTTAGAACCTATGCTATGTCAAGGGCAAGCAAAACTAATATAAATTTAAGTTATGGGTGTTAACTTGCTAACAGATCTTATTACAGAGGGTATAGAATAGATGGAAATGAAAAATATAAAAAATGAATTTTGGGGGTTATCTATAAATTCTTATTTCAAGAGTTGATTATTGTTTGGTTGTTACAGGGGTGATAATGTTTGATGGAAAGACATTAATAGACACCAGCAAAGGATCTGGACCCAGACAGCTATCAGAGCAGGGGCTACGCAGCTTGCTCGCAATCAAAGGGAAAAGCTTCCTGGATCAGGGGCCCATGAAGGCCACCAGATGACACCAGTCAATTGTGTGCATCTTTGTCAGGTCCTTTGATAAGCTGCACTTTCCCAGTCTTGGGGGTCTTCATGAGCTTTCAGACCTCCAGGTTGTTCTGAGCACTTCGGCTTTTGCCTGTTCTGTGGGTGGTACTGACGATACAACCCTCATTCCCGATCATTTCTGAGTGTTTACTGCTAGATGGGGTGAATTGAGTTTAAATTCCCAGGGGTACTATTCCTAAGCAGTACTGAGCCTCAAACCTTCTGAGAGCCATTCCTGCAAATACATAACTGGAACTACAAGATAAAGAGCTAAATTAGATTCATAGAACATAGAGAATAGTAACCTTTTCTGATTGTCTATACTGTATTCTAGGTCCTGCTGTGCTAGGCATTCCACATATCTCATTTACTATTTTTAATTTTGATTTTTTTAAATTGAAACAATGTACATTTTATAAACATCAAAAAGACTGGCTGGAGAGTAGTTGGGAATTTGTTTTAAAGAATTTCCCTTTAAGAGGGGTATACTCTTTGTATGATTAAAAAAAATAAGACCAGTCAAATATTATGACAAGGCTTATATTTAAAAGAGCAGTCCTCTGCTCCATTCTCCATTCCTCCCAATTCCCTCTCATAAGTTCAATAATTCATAATCTCTTAAATTGTTTTCTTCTAGTATTTACCTTCTTATTTCTAAATGAAATGCAAATACTGACATTTCTTGATTGTTTTTCCAGTTTCAGGTGTTGTCCATTGACTTCCTACTCTAGCAGATGAGGACTTCTTAGCTCTCCTATACCTCCTCTCCTCGCGTGCATTTACTTCTTCCTGTCCTTTCGATATATTTATATCAGTTTTTCGTTAAGTGAATATTTAGGGCTAACATTATTTAACTACATGAAGACTATTTATAGCTAAGTCACATGGTACACTATGATTATATTTCTCTTGTATTGCTCATTGTTTTCACCAGTGTTAACCGCATTTTTTGTTTGTTTGTTTCCTTAGTTTCTGTGCTTTTATTACTAATTCATCCCCAAACTTTCTGATGCAAGTAAAAGCTGCCTCCGAACATGCTTGTGTTCCGTTTCATATTCCTCTTGGAGAATTTCTGCTGAAGTCCTCAGTTCTCCTATTCCAAGCTAGCTTCTCTCTAAGCCTGACTAGCAGCTGTTACTGGGGCTTTTTCCTTCACCATTATTATCTTTAGGGGTGTGTTTTTCATGCCTTTCTCCTGCGTTGGATTTCTGTTTTCTGCATCTTTCTCTTGGTTTATTTCCTTACTTGGGTAGAGCATATTCTTCACAAGTTTCCTGAGAAAGGTGCATAATTTAGGACCTCAATTTTATGAGCATGTTTTCCCCTGACATTTCATTGATTGTTTTGCTGGGTGTAGATTTTTAGGATAGAAATTTTCCTCAAGACGGACACGATTCTCCATTGTCTTCAAGCTTCAGTGCTGCTGTTGAGAGGTTTCATTCCTCTCTCGCCCTCATTCCTTTGTGATCTTCCCCCCACCCCCGGAAGTTTTTAGGTTCATCTCTTTATCCTGACATTCATGATACAGCAGATAAATTCTCTGAGATTTGCTTCTATCCCATACTCAGAGGGTACAACCAATCTGGGATTAATCTGAATTAAATTCTTGGTTCGAGGCTTATCAGGCCATTTAGGTATAGGTTTCCCCGCTATCCAAAAGTAGCTTGTTCCTATGAAACCTTTCAAAAGCTGACATGGCATAAAGTGAAGAAGCAATTTCCCCAGGACACATCTTGCCAATGGATGCACAAAATAAATCGAGAGGAAGCGCAGAGAATCACAGACACGGTTCAGAGGTCTGTGGCCTGATGGGGATATGCTAAGTGTGGTTCCCTGGGAAGGAGCCTGGTGGGGCTGCTCTGGATGCTCAGGGTGTGAGCCTGTCTCTCTTCAATGGCTGGCTGCCAAACAAATGCTAAATGCTATTTTCAGTTTTTTCGAAAATCCTCTTCAGATTTCTTTTGGTTGGTGGAAACGGGTACTAATGTCGGTCTTTTTAAAAGTCAACTGGTATAAGTGAGCTTTTGAAAAGGGGGAGATACCTGTAGTCTGAATTTGGGCCATAAACCTAAGTGAGGGTTGTGGTTCCAAATTCTCTGGCAATTTCTCCTCTCTTTTCTCTTGACAAAATTTGAAACCATTCATTTTCCTTGGGGTCCATTGGAGGCAGTATGAGGGTCATTTGTAATTTACCTTGGAGTTCCCAGAATCCTGGTAGGAGAACCTGCACTGGGCTTCCCACCCTGGAGGAGCCTTGGGCTTTGTTCTCTGCCCTCATTCTCCAAAATGCTGTGAAAATCAGTCTGCACACACCCGGTGTGACAAATGCTCTCAGGATAATGGTGCACCACTCGGCTTTCTAGGTCCCTGCCTTCACTAATGCCTGCCTGAGATTCCCTTTTTTGTCTGATGTGTTAAAGATGATTTAAAAAATTACATTTTGTCTAGAAGCTTTAGTTATTTCCAGAAGTCCAGATAGATAACAATCCCATCATAGTTCTGGAAATAGAAGTCTATATCACCTTTCTAAGCCCCAATTTTCTCACTTGAAAAGTGAGGATAATAGTATCTACCTCATAGTAGATCATTACGTAAAGCTCTTAGTGCTGTGTCTGGCAACGCAATTCATGTTTTCTCTTATTTTAAAAGTGGTATTCTCAGAATCTAAACATAAGCACCTTACCAAAAAAAAAAAATTTTTTTTTAAAAGCCCTACCCAGTTTTGCTTAATGGTTAGAACGTTGGCCTGCAGACTGAAGGGTCTCGGGTTCGATTCTGACCAAGGGCACGTATCTCGGTTGCAGGCTTGATCCCTGGTCCCATCAGGGCTCATGCAGGAGGCAACCAATTGATGTGCCTCTCTCACATCGATATTTCTCTCTCTCTGTCTCTCCCCCTCACTCCCTTCCACTCTCGCTGAAAATCAATGGAAAGAAATAGCCTCAGGTGAGCATTAATAAAACAAAACAAAGCAAACAAACAAAATTAAACAAAAGTACCCTATCTTACTATATTTTTATGGGTAGATGCTACACTAATGCCAGGGGAAAAGCTGTGGATGATCCAAGGTCTTGAAAATTTTATACTTATTATCTTAAGTAATGTAGTTCTTTACAATTCAAAAATTTACATATCAAAAGGACCAAGTGATTAGACATCAACTGGTAGATCTTAATTGAGAACAGATGATTTATTGAAGTGACATCCTCAATTTGTACATTTCATGAGACAAAAGACTTTAAAATTATCCCCCACCTTAATCAAATGAGACTCTAATAGGATATAAAATGGATGCTTTTGCTTACAACAAACTTTTATTTATTTTATTTTTAACCACTTTTTATTGCTACAGAGTTGAATTGCATGAGAAGTCCCTTTAAAAGTCCACAGATACATGCACTCCAAGCAGTTGCCCCTCTTTCAAAACACCTTTCACCCACTGCCCTCAGCTGCTGTGCAGAATCGGCTCTTTCTGTGGCTGTTGACCTGTCGCTTGGCCATCTCAGGGACACTTCTTCAGTAGGTGCATTGTGATGTTCTTGACGGCCAGCATGGTCTCTGTGCAGGTGGGTTTGATGAGCACCTCTGGGAGTAAAAATCCAAAATGTCCAGTGTCACGCAGTTCAAAAGCAAATGTGTAGGGTATTCCATTTTTGTAGGCCCAATCCATTGAACTACCAGAACTCACATCTGAAAGTTAAAAGGAAAAAATCATCCTCACTAAAGAGTCTGTATAATTTTCAAAAATGTATATATTACTAAGCTATACTAAATTCTTCCAATGAATATTTCAACAAGAATGATTTAACAGTAGTTCCTTTGCATCGGACTCATAGACCTTATAAATCATATCTTTGGGCATCATCTTTGAGGATCTAATCGAAGTATTAATGCTTTTCTAGTATAATGACCTCAAAATTTCTCAGCCTCAACTCCAGTAACATTTATCCCCACCCACAATTTATTCACCCATAATTTATTCACCCATAACCAAAACCACACCAAGGACTCGGTTCTTCTTCATTTCCAAGGTCTCGAATGTTGAAATTCTGTTCCCAGAAAACCTCCTCATTTCTTGTACTTCCCCTATGTTTTTTTCTTCCTGATGAAATTGTTCTTTGCCTTGGCTTAAGTTTGTAGTTCCCAGACTCTTCCCAGCCTTAAAATTTCATTTGACTCTACCTGGCCATCATCAATTACTTCACTGAACTTCTCACCAGACCTCAAAAAAATGACCCATCCAGTGTGTTTTTCTGCCTTGTTTTTGCTACTTCTCAATCCCTGATCCAGTTTCTCTGTTTTGATGCCTTGTGAGGGAGCTGGAGAAAGTCTTTGGTGTAAATTCACACTAACCACTAAAGTCTTTCTCTGTTCCCAAAGCTGCTCTAGGCTCCTTTTTATTACTGACTCTTTTCATCCTGCCCCTCACTTTCTCACTGCCCCCATACTCAATGAGTAGTTAGCCCCTCGCCTCCTCTACTGACATCATAGCCCTCTGACTCCTCTCTTTTAGCTCAGAGGAAGAAATGTTGCTCGTCTTGTACATGTGTCATCTTTTGATACCATTCATTGCTGTCTTCTCTGCGAGTGTTTCAATAATTAAATCTCCCTCGATCTTGCAGCTGCATTGACTAAAATGTTCAAGCACCTCTTTCCTATAGCACTTCCCTCTCATAATCCTCCTATGTGCTGTCCTCTTTTTCTTCCTGTTGCTTTAGAACTACAAGAGAATCGGTATATGTTTCTTCTACATCTCAGTCATTTTCAATTTGATTCTTGCTTCTACCTGTCTATGAAAACTTTGTTCTTGAAGGTCACCAGTGACAGCAGGCCTAATCTCCTTCTCTTCCCCCTTTCCCCCCCAACTCAGATCCCACTTTCAACCTCTCAATAGCATTGAATCTAACTGACAGTCCTTTCTGACAACTCTTTCCTTCTGGCTCCTGTGATCCCACATGCTCCAGCTTTTCAGCAGAGTTGAAAGTGCAGGCAATAGAGGCAGACGGTGGGCTTGGGCTGTATCTGATCCTGTGTTTCACAGAAGAATCTTTATATACTTCTCTCCTGAAATTTATATGATCTAGCCTGACATACACTATTATTTTAAAATTTTCAGAGCATGTTCATCTACTCAAATAATGCCGCTTTTTATGCTACTTTCGCCAGGACAAGTTATAGATAGAATTATTATGGGAAGATGACAATTAGATGACTCCGCTGTTTCTCAGGCTCCCCTTGCTTCATTCACTTAAGGACAGAAGGTAGGCTGAGGCTTCATTGTCCCTCTGGGTTAGCAATCACTGGAACTACAAATAGTAGTCATAGTAGCCAAAGTCAGAGACAATATGTGCCAACAGTTACCTCATGGCCATGTGACAGCCTCATTTCTATGGTAACAGGTTCGTCTCAGTAAATATTATACTAAGACTGTGCCTTGATATCAAGCTGCAAAAGTGAAGTGTAAGATTTTTAAATAAATGACTGTTTTAAAATTGTTAATACATACTGGAATTAATTGGTAATGTAATTTTTTCCCATTTAAAATTTTTAAATTTTTCTATTACAGTTGATACTCAATATTATATTTGTTTCAGGTTTATAGCATAGTGATTAGAAATTTATATAACTTATGAAGAGATCCCCCCCAATAAGTCTAGTATGCACCTGGAACCATTACAGTATTATTATAATATTATTGACTATATTTCCTATGCTGTACTTTACATCCCTGTGACTATTTTTTAGCTGCCATTTTTACTTCTTAAACCCGTCTCTTTTTACACACAGTTCCCCAAACCCCCTTTCATGTGACAACCATCTGTTTTCTGTATCTAAGAGTTTGTTTCTATTTTGTATTTTAGATTCTACATATAAGTGAAATCACATGTATTTGTCTTTCTCTGTCCAACTTGTTTCACTTAGCATAATACCCTCTAGGTCCATCCATGTTATCTCAAATGGCAAGATTGCAATCTTTTTTATGGCTGAGTAATATTCCATTGTGTGTGTGTGTGTGTGTGTGTGTGTGTGTGTGTGCG